GGGACCCTTCAGTCCACAGGCTGACACTCTATTAATTGAGCCAAACCAGCTAGGGCTCAAAATGAGATTTAGAAATCTCATTTTCGCAACAGAAAGCACCAATTTTTACAAATTTGTTTCGTTTAAATGTCTCATTTTCATAGGTGGCAGGTTATAGGTGAGGGGATGAAGGAGGTTGGATTCAGTGAAAAGAAAGAATTAGATCCATTTCAGCAAGATGATTGATGCATTTAAAACTGTGCCAGCCTTTGTATGAACAGTAAAGGGGTGGAAAGAGGAGTCATTATGTCAGGAATTTGATGGATGAAGACATCCAACTGGAATACAGAATGCAATAAATAGAAGAGATAAAAACACCTACAATTTAAGGAATTGAGTATCCTATAAGGAAGACACACAAATGAAGAGTTTCAAAGGTCCCATAGGAAAAATAAGCTTCTGGAAAGGCTGGCGCTTGCATGAGCATAACATTGTTTTCATAAAAAAAACAAAACAAGACAGAATGATTGTAACAGCTTTACATGGATCACTTAGAAGGACTATTTATAAATACATATTGCCAATATGTGTTATTGGGAATAAAAAAATTCCCATAATTATTATTTACATGTCACAAAATCCAAGTTTTCATCACATTATTTACTATTTACATCTTTCTCTCCTTACCAATAAAAATAGAATTTTGACTTACCAGGCAGCAGCTGTCGCCCACCAGCCAATATGTAATATGTCTGCTATTGATGGCTGGAAAATATAAAATAAAAGTCAGTGCTTTCATCCACACCGAGTGTCTCTTGGGGAGGGAGGGGTGACGGGGCTATCACTGACCACGTATGCAGAGCGATGCCCTGCTCCTTGTTTTGGGGCAGCACCAGGCTCACACACCGACTGATAATCGTAGGATTTGTTGAAAGCATAGACGGATATATTAACCAGATGTCTCATCAAACTTGGATCAATCTCGCCAAAAAATCTTCCAATCTGCACAGAAAAAAGTAATAGTTGCAAACTAAAGTCAAACAGTAATACCTGAATCAGTACAGTGAAAAGAAAAAGGATATATACAAAGAATTGTGTACTAAAATTACTCAGGAGTTTTAAAACCAGGCATTCCAAAAGAACGCAAGTGAGCTTAACTCAATACTCAAAAGCTCTGTGTGATATCTGTAGAAAGGATGGAAACAATTTATTCAGCATTAAGGGCAACCAAATGCCTCCTGAGGATGAGAAACAGCACAAATAAGAAAAAGGATGGGACTTGAGGAAGAAATTTGTAGGGACTGTGATGAACGGGAGTGAGCCCCAGCCACAGGAGCAACCTCCAAGGTACTAGAGGATTACCCTGAAGTTTAATCCTAAACTCCAGCCCATAAACATTGGAAAAACGGTCATCGTTGAGAGATCTTTTCCTTCTTTTTCTTTTAAGAGAAGCCACAAATGTAGACTCAGAAATGAAATTAGTTGACAAAAAATTCTACTCTGTTCAAAATCTTCTGTGAAGCAATTAGCAATTTACAAATTTGGGATTAGAAACTTCTGTTTCAAAGCAGCCATATAGTAAGTTAGACACTATCAACTGATAAGTATTTAATACATGGGAATATTCTACATTTCTGAGAGATCAAAAATAAAAAATAGTTTAAATCATGTTAAGATCCTTAACTATATGTTTTAATTACTTTGAGTACTAGAAAGTAAGCTCAACTGACAAACATAAGGAAACCTATATTCTGGATGCATATCTTAATGATTTATATCATATAAAGCACTTTAAAATTTATAACAAAAATAAAACAACTCATCAATTTCTATTATGGTATGAAGGAGTTTTGTAATGTTGATCTAGGAAAATATACTTTGGAAACCTTAGTTCTTTTTCACTTTAAGGTACATACCTGATTAGTATATTCATCATGATTTGCCATTAAAAGAAAGCCACCATCATCTAGAATCACACAATCCATTACCTATAAAAATAAAAATAACAGTTAACACATTTTAGAAAGATTACAAGGTTATACTATCATTACTTCCATACATGTAGATGATTATAACAACACTAGGAGAAAAATTCCAATGATTATGTCTTCTCTTGGACACACATCCTCAAGAGATTCTGATTAAATAAATTAAGGGCATGCATTGATTCATATCAAACCCCCAGGGCTTGATATTCCACTACTATCAATCCAATTAAAACTGTCAACTTAATCTTAACAAATCATAAGAACAAATCAGAAATAATCTTTTTGCCACTCCAAAAATCATCTGAATCACTCGGTAAACTGAATATATCAAAATATTTCATAATGTATAATTACTTTATTATTTTAAGCACATGTTTAAGATTTGATAGAAAATATTTTTAAATGAATTTTAGTCATCGTGTTTCCTAGACTTAAAAAAGGAGCAGTCTGGGGATAGTTAGAGCTATATTTATAAATACTTGGTTGGATCATTTAAAATTTAAAAGCAAAAAAAGAAATGCCTGTGACAGAAAAAAATCATTAATCCTGAAATAGAGCATAAATTCCCACCTAATTGAAATCATGTGTAAATGCATGAATCAGTTTAATAGTTTTTATTATATAAAAACGACAATTTGAAATACTGTTTTCAGAGTTGGGGACATGGGCATTCCATTTTCCTACTGTGGAAGCAGCTTGCCAAAACCTTTGCTCCAAAAACATAGTTCCCATAATCAATGTTTACAAACTCTCTATAAAATGGATAGACTACAAAAATAAATTATTGACATAATTTTGATGACTAGAAGTGATCAGATGATATAAACCCTTTGCCTCCTTGGGAAATATACACACAGATAAGATGACCAGAAGAGTGGAATTATCCTTCCTTCTTCATTTTTTGGAATAGTTTATCTAGTATCATCCTTAAAGCATCTTCAGCTTTTGAACAAAAAAAGTCCACATTTGCTTTTTCAAACTCTCAAACAGAAATAAAATAGAAGGCAATGTAAAATTCAATCCATGTTAGTGGAACTTCATAATAAATTATATAATCCTTAGGTTTAGTTAAAAAAACAATTTCTCATCATTGTAAATACAGTGTTGAATAAACTTAGAGGAAATGCAAAAGATGCGGGAAGCCTGCATGGATAAGTAGAAAGTATATCTTGGTTAGAAAATTCCCACCCAGGAATAGAGATAAAGATTCATAGGTACAAAGAATCTAACAGAATTGAGATAGAAGAGAATACAGTCCATATTGATATGCCTTTATTATAATTTCCCATAATATAATAATCTTTTTTAAAATAGGATTTAAAGTAGTTCACAACTTCATAGTTAATTTTTTAGCACTTGATTAAAATTTCCTGCATCTTTTTTTAATCATAAAATCTTAGCAAGAGTAACAATAAAAAATTATAGTTAAGCCCTGGCCGGTTTGGCTCAGTGGATGGAGCGTCGGCCTTTGGAGTGAGGGGTTCCGGGTTCGATTCCGGTCAAGGGCATGTACCTTGGTTGCGGGCACATCCCCGGTGGGGAGTGTGCAGGAGGCAGCTGATCAATGTTTCTCTCTCATCGAGGTTTCTAACTCTCTATCCCTCTCCCTTCCTCTCCGTAAAAAAATCAATAAAATATATTTTTTTAAAAATTATAGTTAAAATGTTTATTTTAAAGAGTTTTCTTACATCACTGTTTCTTTTGCAGTCACAAATTGGACCAGCACACTGAAAGACAAAATTACAATTATTACCACATTTTGTAAAACTGAATTTTAATTGTATCATATTATTACCATGTTGCAATTATAAATAAAATAATTTAGTATAAAAGTAAGATTAAACATCAGTCTAGCCCATAAAAAAGAGAATTATTTTATCTTTAGAAAATAGCAATACTTATCTATACTACCATTTCAAACGATAAAATTAAAATTTTTTATATTTATTAATCGATTTTTAAAATCTTTGAAAAAAAAAAGGAATTCATAATTTTGTTTCAGTGTAGTGGCACTGAAAATTTAGCCTCTGTATAAGATTTTACTTTTAACTTTTTTACATTTGAGAGTAAGTACATAGTAAAATAATTTAAAAATATATATATATCTTACCGGATCCCTAATTGATGTTTTGGTGAAATTCTCTATCCATGAATTTACATCAATTTTAATTCCAACAACTGCAATATATGTAAAAGAAAAATGGACATATATCTTTAAAAAATATACCTATGATTCTCATATATCAATTTTTCTTCTCATATTTGAAAATTCCTGAGCAGGCAAGTATAAGTTTCTTGAGATTTAAAGGAAATCTAGCCAAAACCGGTTTGGCTCAGTGGATAGAGCGTCGGCCTGTGGACTGAAAGGTCCCGGGTTCGATTCCGGTCAAGGGCATGTACCTGGGTTGCAGGCACATCCCCAGGAGATGTGCAGGAGGCAGCTAATCGATGTTTCTCTCTCATCGATGTTTCTAACTCTACCTCTCTCCCTTCCTCTCTGTAAAAATCAATAAACTATATTAAAAAAATTTAAAAAAAATAGAATAAAATCTAAAAGAAATCAATTTAATTTCAGCTGTACGTTGAAAAGTTTATTTGAATTAATTTAAAAGACTGTAATTTTAGTTAGCTGCAATAAATATTTGCTACATAATAAATTAGGTAATTTATATAATAGTATTGAATATAATGTTTGTTACAGAGATATTTCTTGGGGTTTGCATTAAGAAGTAATGCTGATAGCTCTTCATCTATCACATAAACTTCATTTATATTCACAAAACAGCTTATTCATTTGCCACAACCTGGCCAATTAACTAATATAGCTGGTAAGCTAAAAAATGTGATAGTATTAAGAATAGCCTTAGAAATATAAGGCCATTGAAATAGAATGTCTGAGGAGGCTTTCCTAAACTGGCCAATGCAATGTATGCAATAGGTAATTAAGAAATGTTGGCTGAAGAGTGACTAGAAGAGAAGATGAACAGTTGAGTGAGTGGAAGAATGATAAAGTGTCTGAGAGATAATTAAGTGGATAAAAGCAACTGAGCAAATGAAGGGTGTATTGGTTAGGAAGTGATGGAGTGAATCTAACTACATAGTTGAGCCACTGAGGGATAAAACTGCCCTCAGGGGTAGGAAGGCAATTTATGAACCTTCTCCCCGTGGCCTAATGCATGCTCTTTGAAATGGTCAAACAGCATTGAATCATACAATGAAAAAATAATAATTATTACATTATTGTCTACTCATTCCAGCCTCCTTCCAATTCCCATTAATCTTCAGTTTTACAAACTGTTTTGTTTGATTTCTTTTATAAAAAAAGTTATTTTCAACCTACTTTATTGGAAGGTTTTTAAAAAATGGATCCTTACCTAATACTTTTTATTGCACAGTTATGCCATAATTTATCTTTTCACCCCAATAATGGAAACTAAACTTTCCATGTTCACATCATTACAAATATTCACATCTTTGGCCATGTATCCTTCTGCATATTCGTAAGTGTCTTTCAGGTTGGACTTCTCGAGTGGGATTGCTGGACCAATCCAGCATTTAGAATTTTTACATATGACACTAAATTGACTCCATAAATTTGTGTCAACAGCATATAAACATATATACTTCTTAGAAAATTCCTCAACTCTATATACCACCAACTTAATTTTATCCCCAACCTCAAAGAGAAGTGATTGTATTTTATTTTTTAAAACATTTGTCTGTATTTTGGTTGAAACTTTCTGATAAGCATTGCCCATTTTTTTTTAATACAAATATTAGGTCACATTAATATTGGTCATGTGTATCTATATAATATATATTTATATATATGCTTACCTGCAGGTTTAAGAAGTTTTCCTTGGATATATATTTCTACTGCTTTGCTTACCATAATGCCTGATTCATAAGCACCAGGTCCACTTTCTAAAAAAAAAAAGTGGAAAAAAGACCTATCTAGATAAATCAAATAACATTGAATTTCTTTCCATACATGACTAATCTAGCACAGGTATATGCTATGCCAGGGTAATTGGAGTGTCGATGAATTGGTTTGCATTAATTGCCTTTGGGATGTGAACTATTCAGGTTGGCCTCATGCATTCCACAATGCAATGGGTGCATGCCAAACCTCTGCTTCATGACATTTGCTAAAATACTGGAAAGGCAGCTGAAGTGGAAAGATTGATGTTAGATTCCCAAACTGCCTTTGAATTTTTAGAAGAAAATGTTCCTGGAAAATACTCTAATATTTTCTGAACTTCAGTTTTCCCATTTGTGAAAATGAGGATAAATAATATCTATCCCCAGAGAGGCTGAATAATTCAATTAGAAAATTTGGGGGAAATAACAATAAAATATTTTAAAATATGGCTACTATTAATTCCTATAGTTAACATATTTAACAAACTAATTAGAGTGCAGTAAATTAATTACATTTTTAAAAATTAAGCATTCTTCAATATATTTTCAGTTTGTGAAATGAAGGTTTATCTACATGTTTCTAGTATTATGCATGCCTGCAGATAAGCTGCTTCTACATTACTGGATGACTGTTTCCTGTATGTGCATTTTACCTCCTCAGTTAAATAGATGCTTCTGTCTTTCCAATGTCAGCATATCGTGTATACTTAATGACTGTTCTGAGCAATTAACTTATATTTTGGGGGACTAATGCAAGTAGTAGCAATAATTTATTATTTTTTAATTATAAAAGCTAAATTCCAAGAAATACTTACTATTAAAGTAGGGAGCAGTGAAAACATAGTTATCATTATCAAGACTCCTTTTATAGAAGCTGTCCTCATAGGTTTCTGGATTTTCTTGCCAATTTTCTCCAGCCCTAAGGAGGAAATGGCTCATCATTTTTAGTCTTTAATCTACCTGATAACCTACTTTTCCCTTTGTGAACAAAACCAAAATTTACAGATATGTCTACATCTCAGGTATGCCCAAGCAAGTCAGTGGTAATTGATGGGGTATATGATACTCATTATTAAGCAATACATCGGCATTAAATTTGTAGAAAAAACTGACTCCTAGGTTTTACTCTGCCATTTACCAACTAGGTAATTCTGGACAAGTCAGTTAATAGGTCAATTAATATTAATAAGCCTGCCAAGCCCACTTTATAGACTGTTCTGAAGGTAAACAGAGGTAAGATTCATTGAAGTACAGTGAAAACAATGAAGTGCTATTCAAATATAGTCCATAGGCTATAACCATTATGTTCATTTGACTAGGTTAGTTTGTACAAAGAGAAACATGTTTTTAAAATATCTTAAATTATGTAATATATATGATAAGCAAATACATTACTGAGGAATCATATAACATTTTTAAAGAAATGAAATATTTTGTAATGTAAATACTTTAAATAATGATTACAATTTAATGTATGAATAATGATCAGTGTCTCTGAAGAATGGCTTCCTCATACAGTAATGAACAGATTCCTGCCGTAGTCTTTTGTAATGCACTTATTTTTACAGATGTTATTTGAACTTACTCTTTGGGATAAACCCTGGTAATCCCACCATCAGTCACAACAAACCGAGCTTTCACTCCCTTGCTGGAACAGAAGACAGAAGGAGGAAATATTTTATTCAACTTACTCTCTGAAAGGTACTAATTTAGGTGTTGGTGCTACAAAGATAAATAAAATTATTTCTTAAAATACAGATAGCCAGAGTAGCCAAAGTAAATATATCAATAGATGCAACTATGTTTTAATAGTGAAAACATCTAAGAAATAAGTAATTAAAAGGGAGGACGCTTAAGGAAGACATATCATAGGAAAAGAATAATACAGCCGAATTTTGAAGATGGAATAGGAGTTAACCGGGATGGCAGAGAAAGCTAGTGAAGAGTGATTGTATCTGGTGTGATAAAAGCAAAAGGCACAAGGTGAGAAATACAGGAAGTCAAGTTTTGAGTACAAGCTTCTAAGGATGGTCAGCTCATGAATGATCTTGAAACCCATGCTGGAGAGTGTCACCTTTAGCCTAGAATGGGAACTGCATTTTAAAAGTAAGACTGGCAGGTGTGAGTTACATGGAGAATATAGACTGGGGGCTGTTGTAGGAAGAGGAATGGGAAGTATTAAAGGCATAAAAATCAGTGGCTGTAATTGCTTAAAAACTGGAATTGGGACTTTGCGTATAAAGAGAGGAAAACATTGTTAGAATACATATTCAGCACTTGACGATTGATTGGAAATGGGTGGAGGAGAGACTGTAAATGAGAACCATCGTCAGATTTGTCAGTTTCTTGATGGGGTACATGGTCGGAAACCTATTTCACCACATGTAGAAGCACACGCAAACATGCCCATTCACATGTCAGTGCACACACTACGTGTAGAGCTGAGTAAGGGCAGGTGTTATTCCTCACAGACACCCACAACTGCAAATGCAAATGCAAGTTGTCAACAACTGCAAAATGATTTTCTCAATAAATTGTTATTAAAGATAAACTTTAAATTTGATGCTTATTTCCAGACATTCCCCAGAAAGATGCTAAATTGAAAAGGAGGACATAGTTTTTAATTAATAAGAATACTTACATGTTTTTCTGCTTACTCCAGTAATTTTGCACCAGTTCATTTGTAAAACCTGCATCCAGCAAGACCCGATTTATCAAATCCGTGTTACCTAACACAGAAAAAGGAGACCCTCGATGACACCCACATACTTTTAAAATTAAGATAATGAGACAAATATATTATCTATTCCTAGAAGCAATTTAGAATGAAAAATATTTCCATGAATTTTAAAATAAATCCTATATTTATTTTCTGCATTTTTTTTCATCTTTCCTTGACTATTTTAGGCTAAGGACAGAATTAGTAGTGGAAAAGTCAATTCTAAATGAGGCAACTTATTTTTAAAACTGCATTAACAAGATATATGAAATATGCCAATCAAGAAACAATGAAGAAATAGTATTCTCTTTTGTTTTTGTGTAGTGATTTCAAACTATCATCATTTCATGGACAAGTCTATATATAAATATAAAAATACATAGTTATGTAGGTTGTTTGTTTTGGCCAAGGAACATAAGTTATCACACACCATCTCCATTCCAAGACTAGCTTTTGGAATCTACTGATATTAGTGAAGGATCCTATCAGCTCAAGTTCAAAGGTAATGGGAAGGATAGATGATAAAAATCAAGGGTCAAATTAATACACATTTTAGAAACACTTTTTCTTCATCCTTTTCCTCAGGCTCCTCTACTCTAAGCCCATGACACTGTGAATAACCTGTAAGTAGCCCCTGAAACTTCATTCATATCAACATTTCATTTTATTCAGGTAAGGAATATATGGTTTTACTTACGCTATTACTACAAGAGGTGGGGGGTAATATTAGGGCTGAAAAATCGTAGTTGGTTTTAATTATTTTAATTTTTAGGAAAAAATAGTTAAGATTTTTTAAATGTTTTAAAAGCTAAGAATTCATAAATCTCTATGAAGTTTCATAGTATGAATGATGCAAATTTTCTCTAAAAGACAAATGTAATAGTAAAAGACTACTAAAATTTCTTTTATCCCAATGTTTTTTACTTCACAAAATGGAAAAATATAGGAGCATATTTTCAATTACAAAGTTAACTGTGATCAAAATAGAATGTCAGCAAGAAAGCAAGTAATACTGTTTATCTTTTTATTCTATTCATAGTAAAACTCATTATATAAATTGGAAAATATGTGTTATATATTTGTTCTCCTCTAAATAGCAAGAACAATGCAATAAAAAACCTTCAAAAGGTCATTCAAAATTAAGCTTCTTAAATTTGAAAGGAGCAAAGGTGAGCACATCCTAAACACTTGCAAGTATCTATTTTCTGGCTTTTGAATTTTGATTTCATTTAATAATGTAATAACATTTCTTTACTAGGGTCATATTGTTACATTTTACCATTAAAATTTTATAAAATAAATAAACCATCATAACAAATTAAACTGAACCAGGATTTGACCACACAAACAATTATTGTGAATTAGTGCATACTTACAAGATGGATTGTTTGGAGTTTTTCTATCAATAAACTCATTGAAATTTAAAAGAAATTCAGTGTTATTATCTGATATTTTAAGGTCATTGCAGTAATCTCTGAAAAATATTTTAAGATATTGGTTATTAAAATCAAAACATTAAAAATGTACACATAATCATAGGAAGTGGAAACACTTTTTTTTACTAGCTTATATGACTTTGTAAGTCATTGATTTTGTTACCTCTATTTCTCATTTCTACATCAAAATAATACTTTGACAATAAGTGGTATTATAGATATACATATTAAGCATTTGACCTCTGGATAGCATATGAGCAATAAATGCTGGCTTTTGTATACTTATTACATTATTATCACTGTAAGATGTAGGTTTACAGTTTTCATATAGAAATTGAGAAATTTTAAAACATGTATTTTCTCACTAAATAGAAGAATACTTGTAAAACCATTATGTTAACATTTCTATGAGAAATTACTGTTTTTAATTAAAACAATAACCTATTGGAAAAAGTAGCATTGATTTAACTATGGTCAACTGCAAGATTTTGTTTTGGCACATAAAACAATGCACTATCTTATACTTTAGCAAATCTTTTTGCATCCATGATTTTGTAACATAACTCATTAGTCAATTGGGAAATATGAATTATGCAGGTCTTCCAAATGATGACACATTTTATTATACAATATTGAAAATGCATATTCATTAATATCATCACTGATGTCATCAATAGAATAGTCTAAATATGGGGACATTCATAGTAATAAATTCAACTTTACCAATTCTAATTTTTGTTTAAAAGCTCAAATTTTGTCCTTGGCAACAAAAACTCTGTCATTTTTTTTCAAAGTAAAAGGCTGATACGATTGATTTTTTGAGAAAAGATTTTCCAAATACCAAAGTCATTCTTTCAATTAAAATGATAGTTCATAAAAGAAAAAAGCAAAACACCAATTTCAGCTCTTAATTCAAACAATCAGACAAGGGTTTCTCTTTGAGACAGCCTGGTGACTCTGACATGCCTCTGCACTTCCATATTCACCACAGGGAGTATTAAAGGACATATACTCAAGGGTAAAGCTTCAATAAAATTAATTCTCATTCTTTCCATCAAGGACATTTTTAAGTGCAACTGGCTTTTTCCCCCTGATTGGGTGCCTGGCAATGAAGATTGCAATGACTTCACCAAGTTAGAAGCTGAACTCAAGGTATTAGAAGAACTCAATAAAATGTTGCAAATAATTATTAAAAACCCATTTTTAGAATTCTGTTATTATTTAAAAGGCATTTCTAAAATTACATTTGCTCATTTAATCCTAAAATTCACTTTATCAGAAAGTATAAAATAATTCAAAGGTGAGGACTGAGACCAGGATGTAAACAGGTTTACTCAGAGGACCTAACGAGCAGACGGGGAAGCCCGAGGAAGAGCCCAGTCTTCACATCCCGAATTAGTGTGCTTTAACCATACAAGGTGCTTTGAACTTCCACTCTGTGCACTTCTGTTACTGCATAGCTCCAGGCCAAAAGCTACTTTGACCTCTACCAATAGAAGGCATTTAGTGTGGTGAGCAATTAATTTAGACAGTGTCATCCTGTGTGTGTGTGTGTGTTTATACTTGCTGGTTGAATTGTGCTGCATTTTGAAATAGTCTAAAGACATATTGACTATGTCTGATTACTATAAAAATCAGAGTATCTGATTTTTACTAATAGCAAAAGCCAAAAAGTGTTGAAAGTACCCTTTTAAGGAGAGTTGTGGAATTAGGATGGGAATAAAAGTGAAAGGTTTTAAAAATGAAAATGTGAGAAAATACAGAATGTTGTGTCAGTAGAATGAGTTCTTTAGTAATAAGATGATCCAGAAGGACCACAGAAAATTACCCACGATGAGGAGTGTGGTGCCTATGCTACAGGCAATAAGTAGCAAGAGGCTGATGGTAATATTTGAGAGGCAAATAACCAGACAGCATTGATGTTGGTTATCTGTTAGCCTAATGGTTATTCAACACAGGCCTGGGTGCTTAAGGACTCAAGATAATCACTCTTTCTCAGGTTCTTTTCCCAAAGGAATCACACATGACAGTGGGTAGCTGAACAATACCTGTTATTACCAAAACTTCTCAATTCATCTCTAAAGACGTGTGGGAATACCTGCTAATATACCGTCTATGAGGCACTGATTCTCTAAAAGGATCAAGTTTACAATATTGATCATTGTTAATTTCTTTTAGGAAAATGATTCCTCAGAAAAGTAAAGCAGCAAGGTAAAGAAATATTTGCATGACTTTAAAAGAACTTCAATTTGCTGAAAACACTTTCAGGGCCTGTAATTATAATCTCTTTTGGTCACTTTCTGTGACCAAATTAGGTTGTAATTCAAAAGGCATTGAAACTACAGATCTCTAGTATTAGAAATTTGGCAAATTACTTCTAGCATACTGAAAATGACTTTGTTTTGTTCAACAACCTTAAATAAGTCACAGATAAGCACTGAACTTTAGCCTATCGCAAATCGTTATTTCTCAGTCTAACTCATCTTCTTTGAAGTGCCTTTTTCATTTCTGGACATCCAAGAAAGACAGCAAAATTAATCTATGTTTTAGACTTTTCATTCCTATGACTGTATGCCTCTTTAAGGCAGGAATGTTCCGTGCAGCTAAATTCAATGTTTTCCTTTTGCAATAGTTTTAAAATTGAGGAAATTACAAATACTGATTACTCATGATCAAATAGCTTAATTTATTTAAGAATTAACTAAAATGGCTATATATCTATAAAACTTGCAAGCTTTCTTCTTTAAATTATTTTAAAATAACTACTTTTTAATACTCTTTATTAAATCCTTTTTCCTCTCCTTCCTCTTACTACCTCTTACTACAACCAATAAATACTAACTCATATTTATTTAGAGCTCATATCTTACCAAGAACTTTGGTATATACTTTGCGTGCATAATCTCATCAAAAGCTTATACAAACTCTGAGGTAGGTGTTAGGGATACAACATTTGAAAGCAAAGAGACTAAGGTGCAGAGAATTTGAGTAACACGCCATAACAATGAACATATGGGTAACAGACCCAGACAGTCTTACTCTAAAGTTTGCTACACTGTTTCTCATTAATAACAGTGACAAAAATATATGACTGCTATCCTATACTACATAACTTTCTGCCTTTTCTCGCCAATTATTCTTTATCCCAACTTTTTAATCACCTTATTTTTCACAATGCTTTGAATACACATTCAGTATTAATGTTCTCGGGAAACCTTCCCTACAAAAATATTTTACTCAGATATACTGAATGTTCTTTTGACATCTATCGGCATTTGTATAGTCAGTATATACTCATATCTTGGAGTAAAGAGGAAACTATTATTTCACATCTCTAAAACTGTTTCCTGATCTGAGAATTGGGACAATAACACCAATTTATTATAGAGTTCTTTTGAGCAGTAAATATACTTATGCATGTAAAGGGCTTAACATGTGTTAATTGAGGTGTCACAAGTTATAATAACATTGCTTCCCTTCTCTGGTGGATTTGCTCCATCCCTAAGCACACAGGAAATTTCCAGTCTTCCAGTAAGTCATGTTGATACTGAAGATGACTTAGGCCACAGAAATGGCCCACTGGCTAAGTCCTTGCTGAACTAAATAAAGTCCCTTGCTTTACCAATTGGGTATTGAAATTGAGACATATTTATCCTCTCTGTGAGTGCCTGTTACCTATATTTTCCATCTTGTCTGATGGTGAAGCACAGAAGCCAATCAGCACGGTCTGCTATGTAAGACCTACTATAAGGTGAATATATTCTCATGTGTATATGTACACATATATATCTATCAGTGTGTATATATGTGTGTGTGTATATATAACATGTAAAACCATATATAGAGAGTATGTTTGTATGTGTACACATACAAATGCAAATATATAATTCTTCATTCTTGTTACCTGGTTAGTTCCAACAAAAGCAAAGCTTACACCTGAATTGTTCACTACTGTATCCCCACTTCAGCACAGTGCTTAGCACATAGTAGTTGCTTAGTAAATACCTGAATGAGTAAATGAATGAGTTAGCAGGATTCCTTTCCTTTTTAAAGTTGTTGTTCTCTTTGGTTCCATAATTTGGCATGAAATTAACCCAGAGCAGCAGTCTTGACCCAAATTCAGAACTGTGATAATTCATACAAGCTATAAAAATAAAATAAAACCAAACCAACATACAAGCTATAAAAATAAAATAAAACCAAACCAACCTTGGTGCTAAGAATGTATAGCCAGATTCTTCAAAATTATCCGGCTTCAGCGTCTCTGAATCTGCAAAGATAATGTTACAGGGTTAGATAAGCAATCAAGAATATATATCCTGAGATTCTATGGCAATAAGAGGGCATTAGAAATATAATCTAATGAGAAAATTAAAATATGTATATCCTAAACTGAAATACATCAATTACTACAAATGTCCTTCATACTTAAAAAAATAAACTTTAATTTTGTAACATAGATTTTAACAGTTTTGTCAGAGAAAATGCTAAGTTTATAACTTTCCCATTTACTAACCATATTCTAACCAAGATATTCTTTAATACATCACAGGTATTTAAAATGTCAACATAAAATTTTATGAATATTATGGTAAAGAAAATGATTTCAATAAACCAATTAATGCCTTAGTGAATTAGTAACATTTTTCACATTAGTATGAATTAGTAAGTAGTAGGATAAAAACACACAAATATTTAAGTCTAAGACAACACTTGAATGTGAAACAGGCTCCACTTGAAAATACAAGCATATTCTTTCCCCGTTTTTGGCTGCTAAGGTTTGAGTGATCATGGAGGAAAATCTAGCAAATGAGAAGCACAGAGGATAATATCCATTAGGAATGGAAAGATCAGTGGAAATGTCAAGTGTACTAAACAGAAAAAAAGTTGAGCAACAAGAAAATACTTGCCCTTCATTTTGCCCTTTTTTGCTGTGAAAATCCATCAGAAAGAGAAAGCAGGGAAACAAAAAAAAGAGGGTAAAGCAAAGGGGGTCACAAACAATATTTTATTCAATGACTTCCTTGAATAAAAATATTGCGCATAGATCAAAGGTTCATTATGTACAGCTGTAGTCTGGAAAAGAAGACACATCTTTTTGGAGACTGGAAAGTATGCCCCGTCAATTACGACTAGAGCACTCTATCTGCACTGTGGTTATTTCAAGGATCTATTCTTCAAAGTGGTTAATGCAGGTGCAGTACCGATGTTAGCCTATAAACAAAGCCATTTACCAATCATCAAAGACCCGCTAGTCATCCCCTCATTTATCCAGTGAAGAACTAGCTCATGCAAAGTTACTGGTTGTGAAAAGACCATCATACCTATCAAGTGAAAGTGATAAAAATGTATAAAATACCACAGTGTACTCTGAGAACCAGGACTGCAGAGAGCAAAGAAGAACTGACATAGAAATGAAAGAATCTAGTTTAGTTATTCTTAAGATTCCCGGTTTCCGATATAAAAGATATATGTAAATATGTATACATTTTTTACTTTATTGTACTCAGAAAAATTTAGGTTGCAATAACTGAGCAATGTGCAAAGGATATGATGGTCATTTTACTTTACTAAATCTAGTCACCCAAAACCAAATAAAGATTAATAATGATTGGAAATATTCACTAGTGTTAATAATTACTCCACATTCCAAATGATACTTAAAAGAATTCATTTAAGTTACTGAAGACATTAATTTTGATTATAAGAAAAAGTCAATCACCAAATCAAAACCAAAGACCAGTGCAATCTAATATTTTCCAACAAAGTAGAACATGTGGAGCACAATATTATTCTTGCCAAAAGCAACAACAAAAAAAAGAAAAAAGAAAGGAAAGGTAAAGCTTTACTCGCACAGTGCCATGGGCAGAGACTATGTGAAACATTTTGCATCAGCTCGCAGACCCTTAAAACAACAGCAACAGAGGACACAGCACCGCAATGATTCTATGAGCACAAAGCGAGGCGGGAAGGGTGGTGGGGACTGCCAGTGAGACTGGAGTACCTGCTCATATTCTATCCGTGTAGAATATTTCTTGTTCCTTGCATGTTTGGAATGGGTTAGAATCATTGCTGTAGATTTGGTAAAAACAGCTACTAGAATGGATAAGCCTTGGGTATTCCAAAATCTAGACGTCTTTAAACATTTGATACTAGAAGATGGTAAAGGGACCCTGAAGTTGCTTTCACAGTACTTACATCTGGCCTGAGTTATTGTCTCTTCTATTTTGGCTTTTATATAGTAAAAACTGTAGGTTGGTAATACCAAGGCCAAACTGCAATAGAAACAAGAGAAGCATAAACACAAACAAACAAAAATGAAACATAAAAAAAAAAACAAAAAAACCACCACACGTCAAGTTCATGGAAAACCCAAAAAATCTTTTTCATGGGAAGAAAAAGACATATTACTGTGACAGTAAAATGCATTCTGCTAATAGAGTATTTAATCTGATCTTGCCATCCTGAGTCACCCAGTTCTCTACATTATAGGGGATCAGAAGACGCATGGAAAATAAGCTTCTAAATATGCCTATAAATTAGCTGAGAAAGAAATGTCATGGGTACTATATTTCCAGAAAACACTGTTGAGTGTTGAAAAATATAGAATTCTGGAGTATGTTTGAACAAAGCAAATAGAATTGATGAATTACATATAATGTTAAAGTGCTTTGTAGCAAATGTATGCTATTAAAAATTACAAATGTATTATCATTTCTATTGCACAATTTACATAATCATCTGAAATATTAAAAATCATTTTCCTTTCATTTTAAAAATTTATCTGTATTGTTGAAAGTTATGCAGACATACCCTTTTCTCCCCATTGACCCCTTCTAGCAAACCCCTTCTCTACGCACCCACTCCAGGCCTTCACCACACTATTGTTTGTATCCATGGGTTATTCATCTAAATAACTATTATTTTAATACTCTAATCTTTAGACAAGTCCAGAGAGTTCGTTAATGGGAAAATTCAGATTCCTTTATAGCACTGAAAAAGATTCCCTGCTCATGCCATTGGTTCTTACCCAATACTTCAAATTCATTTATTGCGGATATTCCACAGCACTTGGTAAATTGCTGTCAGGTACAAAAGGGCATACATCTTGAGCTCAGTACGTTACAAGAGTCATGGGATACTCTAAACGTATAGATGTACAAACTGGAGGACAGGTCGTGTGCAAATCTTAAACCAAGTTCAGAACTATTTAGACACTGAAAAGCCCATCTTCTAACCTTGTCTTAGTAACTGAACAAAATAAAAAGCTGACAGGCAGGTAACCTTGCTGTTTTGAAGTTGCCAATTAATAAAACACATAATGCATTAAAACTGAAAAGATGTCAGAACATTTGAATATTGCGCAATTTCCAAAAGTACCACTGCGTGTATGAAATTCTTTTAATCTTACAAGGGATAATATACATGCATAGGACATTGCTAATTATTTCATGTCTACATTTGCTGTTGCAAATGACTTTTGCAATTCTTTGAGTATAGAAGGAAACTTAGGAACTAATGGGTACAGATAATGAGGCAATCTCAAAGATTTCCGATGCAACTATTTTCCAAAAGTGAGCCTAGGTTCAGTTGATCAATCGAGTCATTCAGGATTCGCCTTTAATATGTAATCTAAAATTTAGCAATGCACAGGAAAAGGTGTGCATATTCAGGCTTCTAAATATTTCTAGACATTTTCAGAAGATCTTCTTTCAAATAACTCAAGCCTCATACCATGGCTTTTGGGATGAATGTCCAGACAATGTAGACAATATAGAACAGCAAAAAATACAAAATTCCAGGTGTTTCTTCTTATAAATATACATGCAAAAAATTAATTCTACGAAGAATAAAGAAGCAGTGGTTTATTTTTACAATG